TTCTGAAGTATGTTTGTTTTAAATTTCTGAAATATGTTTGTTTTAAATTTCTGAAATATGTTTGTTTTAAATTTCTGAAATATATTTGTTTTAAATTTCTGAAATATGTTTGTTTTAAATTTCTGAAGTAGCGTTTATTTTTTTATGTGTTGGTAACCAACAATCCTTGTGTTTGCCCAGGTTTTCCTCCACGAGGCGACAGCCCGCATCATGGCGGGAGCCAGCCCAGCCCGCACGCAGCAGCTGTTGGACAGGAGCATACGCCGACGGCACAAAGCTGTTCCCGCTCATGTGGACGCAGGTAAGCTCAGGGGAACCTCCGCAGCTGTCTTAGCCCAGCTGTGTATGCAGTAGTGCTGGGCGGCTAGGTTCCCGATTATTGAAAGATGGGAATCGTAGGAATCGACTCCGAACCCAATTACTTAGATTTCAATAGTGTGATTTCTTCCAGTGGTTACCTGGTTGGCTCCGAAAATCTACAGGATTTAGGATAACCTCGATTTAGGAAAACTACAAATCATCAACTTTTATTTTTCAAAAATAACGTTTTTAAAAATGAAGATTTGTAACTGATAACCGTGGGTTTACTTAAAAAGGAGTCTGAACTTTTCTTCCGTAGCATTAATCGTGGGAATCGGTTTCGGAATCAATTCTTCGCCCAGCTCTAGTATGCAGATTCTCAGCTGTCAATGCCCAGCTGTCTGCCTACAGATTCTCAGCTGTCAATGCCCAGCTGTCTGCCTACAGATTCTCAGCTGTCATAGCCCAGCTGTCTGCCTACAGATTCTCAACTGTCTTCTGTCCTTGCCAAGCTGTGTCTATAGATCCTCAACTGTCTTAACCAAACTTTGTCTTTAGAAATGCTATCTCTTCCATTTTGTTTGCTCTCATTGTGCGACCAGTTTCTCGTAAAGATTACAAGAGGTCAAAAAAAAAAATAGAAAGAAAGTTCCTACAAAAAAGAAAAAAATAGTGGGTGTCGGGGGCCTTGTCTAGAGGACGGATCGTTGTTGGAGGACCCTGCACAACCACCGCGACCAGGGCAGGTAGTGCTGAGTGGTGAGAGGTTTTCACCCACAGAGCTATGAGTTCTCGTGTGACAGGTTGTAAAGCGCATTGAGCACCGTGAAGTCTAGAAGTGTGCTATAGAAATACCAGGATGTATTATTATTATTATTATAATTATTGTGATCAGCATTATTATTATTTATTATTTTTTATTATTACTATCATCATTTTTATTATTAGTATTATTATTATCATCATCATTATTTTTATAATTATCAGTATTATTAATGATATATTAATTAATTATTCCTCCCCTGTGATATTCCCAGATGAGCTGGAGGAGGGCGCGGAGGAAGTGTGCCCCGAGAGGGAAACAGCGACGGCCATGTTGATGGCAGGCCGACACCTGCACGCGGGAGTGGCCGGGGGAACCAGCGAGAGGATCAAGCTCATCAAGGACGCTGGACGCATGTTTGAGATGCTCGGGGATAAGAAATCTGTCTCGGTCTGCCGAAAGGCGCTGATGGATATGGATGAATCCAGCGGGGGTGGTGGGGAGGTGCCCGTGGCTGGCTGTTGAATGAGGGAGAGAGGCAGACTCAGAGAGAGAGAGGGAGAAAGACACAGAGAGTGAGAGAAGTAGAGAGAGAGAGGCAGAGTGTGTGGACTGATATCTTGTATGGGATAGGATGGTTTGTGTTTAGCAAAGGGATCAAAGATTGTTTAGAAATTTAAAGCTCTCTCAGTTTTTTGCTGAGCCTTGACAAGCTTTCTTGTGTTTGTCTGTCTGAGAGAGTAGTTTTCAGTGATCTGATGACCCATGTTTGAAAACTTTGGTCAGTTGCGAGTGCCGTAAAACTCTTACTAAAAACAAACTTTGGTCACTTTGGACAAGGGAATCCAGATAGCATAAACTGTTTGCACACCCACGTACTCCCTGTATGGCCTGGGAGATATTTAGCAACACGGATCTGAGCCTGGTAAAAAGATAAAAGAAATGAATCTGAAAGGGATGACCATTTGTTGTACATGATACACTGTTATATTTTTGCCGATATATTATTTTCGTGTTCTTTTCAATGATGTGCATATATTTACTGGGTGTGTGTGGTATTTATCTGATTGTCGAGTGAGCGAGAGAGAGAGAGAGAGAGAGAGAAAGAGTTCACTTCTCTTCTTCTTGTGTATATATATCATTCCTCTGGTGTACGTGAAGTGTTACAAAGCTAAGTCAAAGTAAACTTTGGGGCTCACTCGCCCTTCCTCCTCCATTACCATAATTGACGCATCCGAGTATTCACCCTCAGTAAGGTCGCTGTGTAAGCCCTACTTGATACACTCTTGTCTCTTGTATTTGAAAAAGAATCTTCAATGGGAGTTGTAAGGTACTTGTACCCAAACTCAAAGTTGTAATAACTGTAGTAATACAGTTGTGCCAGTTGGAGGTATGATCTGGTCTGTTGTCTTGGTGACTTTTCCTCAGGAAGAATACAGGTCACAACAACTGCTGAAAGCAATGATTGGGGGGTGTAAGAAGTCAGAAGTTTGCCTTGATTGGTTCCCACACAGCTGAAGAATATCGTCACTTGTACCTCTCCGACACAGTTGTGGGGGGGATGCTGTTGTTTTAAAAATGAGTTCTGGAAAGTGACAAAGAGGCTGTTGTTTTAAAAATGAGTTCTGGAGAGAGGCTGTTGTTTTAGAAATGAGATCTGGAGAGAGACAGAGAGGCTGTTGTTTTAAAAATGAGTTCTGGAGAGAGACAGAGAGGCTGTTGTTTTAGAAATGAGTTCTGGAGAGAGACAGAGAGGCTGTTGTTTTAAAAATGAGTTCTGGAGAGACAGAGAGGCTGTTGTTTTAGAAATGAGATCTGGAGAGAGGCAGAGAGAGGTTATTGTTGAGATTTCATTTTGATTTGTTTTGATATTTTTCATGTTCCCACACAGCTTGTAGTGGTTTGAAACTTGACCATTGTGCACCCAGAGTTGTCATTAAACATTTCATACAACCGTCAGATGTTTTTTTGTGTCATTTTTTGTAAAAAGTTGTTTCATACAGACATAATGAGTGGGTGGTTGGCGAGTGTATGGTTTGGTTTGCTTTTTCTTTCCTATCGAATAACTACATGTATCGCCTTGATCTTTGCTCTTTCTTTTTGTGTTTGTTAATCTCATGTAACACCTCTAATCTTCGGCACTTATATGACCTCATTGTGCTGCAAGTGCTGTAAACACTTATTAAAACAAACAATACAGACATGTTTTCTACGATTAAAAAAAAAATAATTTAAGGTGTGTTAATCATATGACTTTAAGTTTTAAGATCAATCCTCATCTTCTCAACTTAGTCTTATTGTAAAATAAATGTTTTTGCTGTAGATCTATGACCTACAATTATAATAATTCTTTAAAAAAAATATAAAAAATTTAACGTAGTACATAGATTCTGTACAGTGCACATCCACACTACTGCATGCACTATGTGATTTGCCCTCCAGGTACATGTACCAATATTCTACATTTGTGGAGCACACGTGGGAAAATATTGTAAGCATTTACATGTCGAGACCAGTGACCCCAGTGGAACCAGCAACCAGACCCAGCATAAAGTATAAAGGACTTTTTTAATGAAAAAAAATTCCCCTATGTTACAAGCCAAGAGAGAAAAAACCCACTGGAAAACTGTTCAACGCCAGTATGGCGAAAGTTTGACCAGTTTTGAGTACATTCAAAGAATGACAGAGGAGGAGGAGAAGAAGAAAAGGGAAAAGGAAAAGGAAAAGGAAGGCCTTCTGTTCCCACCAGAACCAAGGCAAAGAAAACAACAGTTGTGGACTCCGTCTCAGAGTCGGAAATTGATGACGATAGTCGATACATGTGTATTTCAACTGTTGGACTTGTTGGATCTTTTCACCTTTGCTAATGAGATTACAACTAGGATTTGCTGCTTTTTTGGATATTATTGCATGGTAATATCCAAAAAAAGCAGCAAATCCTAGCTGTAATGTCATTAGCAAAGGTGAAAAGATCAAACAAGTCCAACAGTTTAAATATCTCGGATATATGATAACATCTGATGCCAAATCTTCCGCAGAAATAAAAAGGAGAACTGCAATGGCTAAGGCTAGTTTCAATAAAATGAGCCCAATCCTGAAAAATAGAAACATATCAATGAACACCAAAATGAAAGTCCTGAAATGCTATGTTTGGTCAACCCTTCTATTTTCTATATGGCTGTGAATGCTGGACAATCACTAAAGACAGTGAAAATAAAATAGAGGCAACAGAAATGTGGTTTCTTAGGAGACTGCTAAGAGTATCGTGGAAGGAAAAGAAATCAAATGAGGTGGTGCTTGATGAAGCCCACGTGGGACGCTCAATGTTAAAAACAATCAGGAAACGACAAATGCAGTTTTTGGGACCCCTGAATAGACATAAGGGTCTTGAACATCTAGCTCTCACTGGCAAAATTGAGAGCAAGCGAGGCAGGGGTAGGCCCAGAACAACATACTTAGGGAACCTAAACAAATGGGTAACAGGGAAAGATCAGGGAAGCGTAGCTTTTCTGAGAGCATCCGAGCAAAGGAATGAATGGAAAATCATGATCGCCTATGTCTGTCGCAGATCTGGCACTGGATGGTGATGATGAGTCGCGACAAAGACTGGCTGCCTCAAAGATGCCAGAAAGACAGTGGTGATGATGACAGTGATAGTAATGACAAACCCGCAGGAAACCAGAGAAATGTTTTTGAAAGTTTTGTCATTCATTGAAGTATGTTGGACATGTTTGATCAGAATTTTGTAGGTGGGTGGAATTTCCCCGATTTAAGTGTTTACAATTTTTTAGGAGGTTAAAACTCTATTTCTTGAATAGGATTTGTCAGAATTGTCAAATGTTGTGTTTATGTTGAATGTTATGTTCAGAGTATAATTTGTTGCAAATTCTAGTCAGATATCACAATTAGGTAGTGCATGAGAGTGATTTAAGCAAAGTTGTGGGTGGAATTGCCCCGGTTCACACTACTACAATAACTGGTTAATTGCACTTGCACATTTTAGGGTTTGAATATTGCCTCTCAAGGTTCTCTTCTTTTCAACCAATCTCCGCCCGTGGGTGCTCTGGCGTGGTTTGCTTCTTCTTTCCTATCAAACATCTATCGTCCTTTTCTCCCCTTCTTCTTTTTTTATGTTTGTTACTCTCTTGTAACACCTCTAATCTTCTGGCACTCATATTATTATGACCTTATGCAGTTGCGAGCATCGTAAAACCTCTACTAAAACTAAACGATCTCCGTCCCCCCTCCCCCTGAAGACCCCCCCCCCCCACACACACATTTGACAAAAAAATAACCGTTTCGTTAATTTGTGTTTTAGCGGACTTTTCTTGTAAATTTGAAAATATATGAATTGGAACAAACATTGTACATGTAATTGTGTGCGCAGTTTGAAATGAAGTAACAAAACCTCAAGCTCGGCTGTAGGGAGGACCCTGGGCTGCTCATCACGACACGTTTAGATTTTTTAAAATTCAATTTTTTTTTCTCGAAAATATAATCATTATACACCCCCTCCCCCCTGGTTCGGATTTCGGAAAATTTCAGTAGCTCCAACCCGCTGCCTACCTTCCCAGTAAATAAAGGAGAAAGACTACCAGGCTCGGACAGTCTACGTCACTACGTCACGTGCACTTAAACTTAAACATCCTCTTTTCATTTTGCCTTTGGTGCTTAGTGCTGCTTTGCCCTTAGAAAAAAAATTAGACTAGAAATGCTCAGGCCAGGAGTAAGACAAACATATTAGTTTGACAAAGTGGTTGAAAATTCCTGACCTTTTGTGCTGTGGGTGGCAGCCCAGGTCTCAGAGAACCCCCCCCCCCACGAAAACCCACAGGATCATTTTTTGACACTTCAAACAATTATTAGTAATTTAATATTAGCTACAGGGGTGGTGTGTGTGTGGCATAGTGTGTTGTGATGCACAATCTGGATCAAAGGCAACTTGGTGGGTGGTTGGCGGGTGCTCTGGCGTGGTTTGCTTATTCTTTCCTATGAAACATCTATTTTCCTTATCTCTCCTCCTCCTTTTTTGTGTATGTTACTACTCCCTTGTGACACATCTATTCTTCGGCACTTATATGACCTTATGCAGTTGTGAGCGCCGTAAAACTCCGCTAACACTATCTAAAAAGACAACTTGTAACATGTTCTGTTATTTCAATTTTGTGTCAGGAGCAGGAACTGGACTAAAAGATTGTTTTTGTAAGGGAAAGAGCAGGAATTTTTAGGGTGCCACTGGTAGGTCCTTGGCCTATTTCTTTACTTTCCCTCTGTTGTTTCTGTCTGTCTGTCTTGCTTTTTCCAGCACTAAAGGTCCATTATTGATTATTTTGTCGATGTGCTTCTTTTTAGGAACCGTTCTTAAATGACGTCAGCTCAGAGGGGTGGGGGTGGAGGGG